GTGCTGGGTATTTTTTTTATTTTTTGAAGAGTTGGGATATTTTTTATATATGGCAAAAGTTGGGGCATTTTTTATTCTCCCTTACGATAATCATCTTCATAAGCGTCGCAGTCGCTTCCAACAAACACAGACATTGAAGCGTGATACTTCACGTCTACATAGATCAAATCTATAGTGTCAAATATTGTTGATTATAGGCACTTGAACAGTAGATGATAAAATGCAAAGTTTAAATAAATTCACAGATCGTTTGCTATTCGTATGTTTCTTGAATCTTCTTCAAGGCTCACTTCGTAAGAAAATTCACCTAATCGGAGCGCGACACATTGCAGTCTGTCCGACCTTAGATCTTGCAATTAGCTTAGGGATGTACCATAACAGGATATGTATTCTCTTGATGTGCAGAAACAATCTATCTGTATATATTGGTACCTACCATTTACTATAAAACGGTTGTTTTAGCAACATACAGCGGACCCATCTCCTCCAGCTGAATCAGTCAATTTTAAATAAATGTAAGAGTAAGCCTCACCAAATATCAATAAAGATGTTCTCTTATTATCATCTGCATGAGTAGATTTCATTGGTGGAGCATTAGCTCTTTAAATGTGCTTCAACTCGAGAAAAGCTAAATAATAATAAATTGGTCTTCGCTGCTAGTCGTCCTCAGGTAACAGCGACTGCGTTAAATACAGTGGTGGTATATGGACTAATCGTAATAGACGAGACTAACATGATGCGGACTCTGAAAGGGGAGAATAGCTGTAGTCTGCTCTAACAGAGAGGCCTTCTCCAACAAGGGCAGCCAACGGAAAGACCACCGGATATACATGAAGCACATTGCCCCACAACGCCAAAGCATTAATAGATCAGCAATGATCCAAAGACTCAAGCTCATACGGCACCGAATATGGCGGGAAAATTGAAATACGAAGGTGCACGGCTCCCAGAGCCCATGCACAGTGCAGTGAGGTTGCCGTGGCTCTTTCGCTTCGAGGGAGCTTAGTTAAGGTCACCGACCTTTGTTTTATACTTAAAACCAGAACGAGTGTAGCGGATCGCGATCCGCATACTTCAAAAGTAACCTCAACCTGAACCCAAGGCGATAAAAATTCTTCCGTTCAAAATGTTAACTGTATTTCTTTGTTTTATTTGCGGTACAGCCGCCTATATCTAAATCTATATATACTCCTAATTAGATAGTGAAACCTAATTAAAATGCATAACTTATGGTAGTCCAGCCACGTAGTGGCTTCTTGTTAAGGTGTAGCCCACATTGTGTGGTCACACCATATTGCGTCACCTACCTTTTCATACCAGGGTACGCGTAAACCCATTCTCCCTGCTCTAATGTGTCTGGACGACTATCGACAAATTCTTGCCAGTGCAACAGATGTCAGGGACGTATAAGAGGTTGACATCTCTAATGATTGGACATCATCTACGTTGATAAGCGGTTGCAAGCTTTCTTGCTACGTAATAACGAGTATTGAGCCTGAAGTCGCTTGACCTCAAACCTCCAGCACGGGCAGCATCTCCACACATGAATAGTAAGTACCCTACGAAGTCTTCCGTGGCCAACAGAGAATAGAGTGTCTCGATATCTCAGTACTCGGCAAGGTCTAGCGGTTAAAAAACACCTCTCGTAGCAGCCCTGGTCATTACTGTCGGTACCAATTATGTCATTACCATAATCCAATTATGAGGATGACAGATAATATTTATCGAACAGTTCTAAATCATACCGAGACTTTTTGTTACGATTAATATTGACTCCAAAGTTTCACCTTGCAAAACATCTAGGAGTCCAACTTAAGCGTCTTATTAATTCGAGTATTTGTCAGATGATTCTTGAGCCGATGGTACCCACCTATTCAATAGAGGAGATCTCTCATCGTGGAAACGCATATAGCTAAATCATGTGCATTTGAAGTGCACACTACGCTTGATTGAGTTTAGGTGGGATAGTATGGATCGCATATGTTGTGGTGTAAGTGTTTGATCAGCCTGTTTAAATGACTCACAACTAAGGATCCTTCATAATATAACAAGTTTCCGCTGGCTCAAGCATAAAGTATTGCTTCTCCCACCAAAATCTTGATTTTCTACCTTCCGAATCGATCGTCGACGGCCATATACCCTATCTTTATCCTACTCCAATTAAATTTCTGTTGATCTATACATAACCTTCCATCGCATTTGATTATCCAACATCTGCCGTCAGGCACATACATAAAGTAAACTGATACGCATCCTGACTAAAAATTTATACCCTATTCTCTCGCGGCTGAGGGTTAAATGGTCCAGCTTTCACGCAAAGTCGATCGACGTATTCCTCCCAGATAAATGGCATATTTAAATTGACCGTTCTGTGTCTACCCCTTACCCATCACTGGGCTAAACAGTACGTATTTTAGAACTTCAGACGATCTATGATCCATGGCGAGCTAGCTACGCCTACCTAGGATGAGAATGTACCTCAGATTCAGATCGAACGTTCACGCTGTCAATAATTTCAGTTAGCGGAAAGCCTCAAAAATTCTTTGACATGTCAAACAATATTCCCTTCGCCCTCAGTAACCGGATTATGCATCTACAATGCATCCGCGTAATATCTGCTTGTTCTAGTAGACGTCCGCATTTGCACGATGCTTCAGATTCTCAATAAATTTTCCCAGAGAACCGACATCTACTATTAATTTCAACAGCACGAATTGTGTGACTCGTGTTTTATAACTAATAGATCCCTGAGTGATCTTGAAACCTCACCTCCTCTGCTTAATCGCATAAGTAAAAATGCGAGACACGGGTCATCCAAAATAACCATAAAAATTGCTCGGAGCCTTGAGCAAAGCGATAAGGTAAGTGCGAGCCTGGAGTCTACACCACCGCTTCAATTTTCTAATATATGTCGGATGACACAGAAAGTAGTAATCGAACTTCGTGGTCGTTAAATTTTATTTCTCAAGAGACAGATATTAGCGAAGGTATCTCGTAGTCTTCCTGGTGAGACGATTGAGTAGAGCTATTCGCGGTCTAATTTTGGTGGAGCATATGAGCGCAATTTAGTGTAGCGGTTTCCAGAGTCTGCTTCTTCTAATGCAAATTAAGTTAGCATTATCGCGCAAACACTGAGAACGCATGCGAAGGAGTCCACTGTATACTGAAAATAGATGGACCATACTCGAAAATTTAAAGAACGTTTCATCCTTATCATGCTGAGCGGTAAAGTTGAGTCGCAAAACAGCGTGGCGCGTCCAACGTGTGGAGCAGGGATTGTAACGGGGTTACAAATACCCTGGTATCAGGTGTGTGTGTCACACCAGATGGGCCTGGTGTGACCACACCCAAACAAGAATACCGTACAGGGCTGGTAGCCAGTAGTTATACATGTATTTAGATTTTACTATATATATTCAGGAAAATCTATGCATTTAAAATTAGGCGGCTTTGCCGCAGCTAAAAATAGATAAAGTCGGTTTTGAATTTAAGCGGAAGAGTGAATTAGCGTTGGGTTAAAGCTATAATTATTTTTGAAGTAAGCGGATTGCGATCCGCTAAACCCATACTTGTTCTGAGTATAGAACGAGAGGTCGGTGACCTAACTTACGCTTCCTCAAAGCGCAAAGCTACGGCAGCCCCGCTGCACTTGGTAGCACTTGTAGCCAATCTTCACCTGAGTCGTTTAGACTGATTCTCTGTGAGGATGGAACAATTTTCCTCTGCCCCAGGGCATGCATGACGGGCTTAAAAGCTGATGTCCTTGCTGGGCCCTGACGGCGTGCAGCACCTTGCTGCACAAGGCCCCGAGGCAATCGGTGCGTGTTTAGAGGCGTTTTCAAATTACGAAAACGCGCTGCTACAGCACATACAGCAGAAGATGTTTGCTTCATTTGCGTCTATGACGCCACCGTCAGTGACCCCGCCCTAAGCCGCTCATGGTGAGCGCTAAGTTTTTCGAGAAGAACTATGGATAGAATCTCCTGTTCTAAGTGAGAGAGGCTGAGATGGCCATCGCATTCACCATGCTCTAGACGGAGCAACTGCTCGTGGCGCTAGCCATCTCAAAGCTCGGTGGTCAATGGGCACTGACGTGCGTCACTTCGGTCGAAGCTGCGTTTCCCTCCTGGGCGGAGCT